ACACAGAACAAAACGTATTTACAAGGGGAATGGGGCAGGGGGAAATAATAAAACATTAAGCATACTTTCCACAAAAAAAGTTTATATTTAAAATGAAAAAAAAAAAAAAATCAGTCACAGAGGCATTCAAGTAGTAATAATGTTATACAGGTTTTGCTTTTCCTTTAAATCAAGACAGATTTGCACAAGTGTATGCAATAGTTTGTATACAACCCACAGTCCTTAATATATATATATATATTTTTAGATTTCTGGTTTTAAGATGGAAGTGGTCACGCTAATTGTTGTGTACAGGCCCAAGTGATCCATCAGCAAACACATTAATGAACGCAAATTTTACAGGCAAGCAAATTATATGTTTTGCCGTTATTGCAGTGTTGCAAAACGAAGCCAACTACGACCAGAACCGGCTGAGAGCCCTGTGGAAATCAGCTGCCCCCCTTTCCCCCCCGGGGGTACCCGCTGGCAGCCTCTGGGAGGCAGCGCCCGGAGTGAAGACCCTACTGCGCTTTTTCCTCACCGGCTTTTCCTTTCTCTGCGCGGTGGCTGAGGTTCCTAAGTTACAGGCGTACGAGTCTGACAGGCTGCTGGACTCCTACTTCTCCAAGTACTGAAAACCAGGGGCGCGGGGAGGGGGGTGTGTGGAATTTTAGTTGCAAGTTGCAAGCACCTGCCGTTATTTTAGGTAAAGCTTGGCTTCGAAATAAGGGGCCAAAGTGTTCAGGGATCTTCTACCAGCCAATTGTTTTACTTTGCAGGCCTTTATTTATTTATTTAATTTATTTTCCCCTAGTCAGGTAGGTGAGTTCAATCTTGGAGAACACCAGCGTCTTGACCGGGTGTCCACAGGGGGGGACAGACTGCCATCGAGTCCAGCTCAGAGACCCACGCCACAGCAGGGCTGACATAAAGGACAGACCAAGACCAGACTGGGTTAAAAACAAGCCCGAAAGAGAGTAAAAGAAGAGAGGGACAGCTCTGAGCAAGCAGACTGTCGCCAACAGCTCGGCATCACTGACCTTCGTGTCACCAGAAAGAAAGTGCAGCCTCTGCTTCACTGGAATGAACACGAGATGCTTCGAAATAAAACAGCAACCTTTGGTTTGGTAAAGAGTGAAGTGTTTTCCCATTCAAGACGATCTTATGTGGAATACTAACAAGGTAGTAGAACACAAGCAAACTAGTTTTAGAAACAAGGCCTTCGTGCTGGGCACAAGAAATCAAGAGTCATGTCGAACTTATCATCTCAAGAAAACAAAAGCGACTTTGGGGTGGGGTGTGGGGTGAAAAAATCAGGGAGAAGAGAAAGGGAACAGAAAGCTCGCCCCCCCGCCCCAGCAGAAAAAGCCACCGCGGTCTCCCCCACAGCGATGCCCCGGTGGCCGAACAGCTGGGAGGGCTGTGGGGTGCAGGGGGGTTCCCCTCCACCCACCGGGCCTGGCCGCTGCCCCCGGCCCAGCCGCAGGGAGGGGGGGAAGGCCAAAGGCTGAGCCTCCTGGGAG